TCACAGATGAAACACTCACTGGTGTTTCAGAGTAGGAAACAAGAAACATTCCCAGGTATTTTAACCTGTTCATTGTCTCACCAACAATCACTTAAGCACCCCGCCCTCCTGCCCACCCCCGAAGTGCAGGGCTTGCATGAAAAGTGGTGAGGGGAGGCAGTTGTCCAGGGCCCCTGGGGGCCCCATGAGAACTTCCTGAGCTGCCAAATCTTTGACCAGCCTTTGCTTCTGTTTCTTTCATGGCAGTTTGATCATGGCATGCAAGTAATATAGTGTCTTGAGCTAAAGGCTGAAGAACATCCCAGTTACCACTGGGTCTTTGAGAAACTTCACTTCTTTTTGAAGCTGTGCATGCCAGAAAATTATTTTGGGTTCGTGTTGCATTCATTAACTCAATGGGAGGAATTTGCATGCATTTGAAACATTTCAACATCCCTGGAAGGGCAGAACAAGGACAGGTACCATAAAACAGGGACTGTTTGTGTTGGTAAACAGTACCTGTATATCTTCCAGCTAACAGGATTGTTGTGATTCAATTTCACCCCTGGGCATGCACTGAAATGAGTAAATATGTAAAATCTACATATTTACTTCTCTGCAGCCAGTGCAGTTGAGATCATCTAGAAAAAGTGCAGGCTCAGCAATCTCACTGCCAGTTTATACTCATCCACCCTACAAGCTGCTGAAATGGCCACAGCCATGAATTCCCAAACAAGCAGGTGATAAGAAAAGCCCAAGAGAGAAGGCATGCTGGGGATGTGCAATCAAAAGAGCATTTACAGTTTACTCTGGCTTCCCAAAAAGACATACAGCATGTCGGCAGCTCCCAAGGGACTAGAAAGGAGTCTGTACAAGATGCATTTATAGCCTATTAGTTTGGAGGCGGTGTGTGCGTGTGCGTGTGCCGGGGGGGTGGGGTGGAATCACACAGGCAGTTTGCTAGAGGCCCATGAGTGTAAAACGGAAGGGTTGAATGGATTAAGGCAAGACCTTCCAGGACAGGCACGCATGAGCATATTTAAGGTGCAGGTGTGTAGCAACATGGTTTCCTGATCAGATCAGGAATCCCACCTTAAGTCTAAAGCTGATCTTACAGCTTCAGGCTTTTAGCAGCTGTATTATGGCAGAGTTTTCACTTGTTTTAAGCATGACTCCAAATATCTGTTTTTACAAATAGGGGTGTCCTTAGGAGACAGGGCTCTTTGAAGAAAGTCACCTAAGTAGCAAGTTTGTGTATTCTGTGTGTTTTGTGGCTTGAGCCCTGATCTTTGGGTCCCTGTCACTGCTCCCGATGCACTCTTCCTGTCTCTTGCTCCCTCCAGGCTTGGGGAGAAAGTGATAACTTCCTTCTCTTAAACTTACCAGGTTGCAGAGTGAAACCCCGAAAGTCTGCTGACATCATGAGTGACCCAGGAAGGTAAGATGGACTGTTAGATTCTCCTTCACCCCTAAGCAGCAAGACTTCTTAGGCCTGGCGACACCAGGCAGCTGTCGAGGGCAGTGCAAGTATAACGGGTGCCCACCATGCCGAAAGCTGTGCATCCGTCCAAGGGGGCATGGAGTTCCTGGCATGGCCAGTTCTCTCAGAACCAGCTTTCTAGAACCTTCTGTGGTTTTCCAGGAGCTCCAGGCACGCTCTTGGTCTTGGCCTTGCCACTGTTTGGGAGGGCACATGCTCTACATGCAAAAGATGGGGGTGGGGTGGGGGTTTAAAGGCAGGCCTGGTTGCCACGTGCCATGGGCCAGCAGAGGCCCCCCAACAAAAGGTCTCCTCCTTTTCACAACTGCCCTTCGCGTGCTCTCCTGCCGCTCGCCCTTGCCCAGGCAGCGGTGGTGGATGCTGCTGCCCATCTGCTCCTGCCTGTTGAGCAAGCCTGTGGCAGCCAAGGTGAAAAAAGGCTGAGCAGCAACGGCTGCTGGTGGCCATCACAGGGAGAAGGCAGCCACTGTGGAAGGGAGTCAGCCGTGGAGGGTGTCTTGCCCCAGGCCTGTTCAAAACCTGGAGCCACACTGCTGAGTTCTTGCCACTTAAGCATCCCACAAAATGAGGACTTAAAAAGGACCATAAATTTACATTACATTTACATGGGCTAATTTATAGTAACAGATGCACCTCCGTAAACAACGTGGAGGATTTAAGTAGAAATATAATGCATCTCACCCTAGCGGAGAGGACTGTGAGCTGGTGACCTGCTGAGTCGGCTGTCCAGGTGCCCACTGAGGTTATGGGTAACTTCAGGGCTGCCCACCCTGCTTCCCCCCTGCTATGGTTCTCTGTGTTGAACCCAGACTTCAGTCAGACAGCTCCTGAAACAGAAGGCAGTCTCAAGGAGAGGACTGTCCTGGGTGAAACAGGGCATGTGTCCACCTGACCTCACACCCACTGACCTAGGTTAACACCAAGCTTTGGGATGGCTCCACGGTCCTGCTCTACAGAGGACAAGCCTCTATTCGAGGGGCTGTGTTTAGCCAGATGTGGTTTGCACGGTTCTTCTAGGAGACTCTGGTCCACGTTCATTTCACAGAAGGGAAAGTGGTTCCGGGCCTTGAAGCTGCCTCTCAGCAGCAGTACCCGGACCAGGAACTGAGCAGGAACAGACCCATGGCTGCAGGCTTCCTGCGCTGGAAGCTGGCTGTGTTCTGCCCCCATCCCAGTAGCGTACGGGCAGGAGTGCTTGTGCTCCCCCAGCCGCTACCCTCCCCCTGGCTCTCTTTCACCTTGAGGGACAGGGCAGGCTGCCGGAGCAGGAACCGTGTCGCTTCGGTGCAGCTCCATGGCTCTGCTTGAGGGACTAAGGAGAGCTTAACTGGCAGCAAGCACCAGTTTGTTTCCTGCGTGAATTGTGGAACTTTACGAAGTGCTGCAGGGCAGAGTGAAGAGGCTGCCGGATGGCTCTTGTGGGCCTCGCAGGAGTTGTGAAGGAGTGGGAGGGGAGCACTTATGAAACCACTACAACAAGGACACAATTTGTGCAAAACGTACATCTACTGCCTTATATTTCTATCCTGCTATTTTCCTCTATGTGTATTCTGTGCAAATTTATATACACACCTCCAAATTGAAATATAATCATTATAACTTAAATCGAAATGCAGTATATTGCACCATAGTGTGGAAGATGGCGACCAGGTGACCTGTGTACTTTGCTCTATCAGCTGCCCAAGCACTGTTGAAGGACAATTTCAAGTCCCCAGATTCTCCCTGCTTGGGGTTCCCAATCTCTACCCTGGACAGTCCTTCAAAATAGAACACAGATATCTAACAGCCCTTCAAATAAATGACTGTCTGGTGTAAAAGAGGAGGCTCCCCTCCAGGGACACGGTGCTCTCTGGGAATCCATCCTGAGCTTATTTTTCTTGCTGTCAGCTGACTTGTCCTTCTTGCCTCCCAGCTTTAGCAGTGACATCCCGCGGCCGAGTGCCAGAGCCATCTATGGTGAGTCTGGGGAGAGGCGATGTATGGGAGGCAGTGTTCAGCTTCCAGGCTGAGCTGGAGGGCAGCTCAGTCCTGCACATCCATCATCCATAGTCAAGATCACCTGTTCTCATAAATCTGCTGCTGCTGTCCCTTACACCTGGAACGCCCTCCCTGAATGAGTCATTCGATAGCTCTTTTCTTTCCCATCCTCTTCCCAGGAGACTCGTTATTGACTCTACTAACCACACTGGTTTATGTTCTCCCCTTGACTCACTCTTGCCCTCCCTTTCTCTATCACATTTCCTTAACCTCAAAATATAGACTGTAAGCTCCTTGAGAACAGGGGACTAACTTTTTTAAAAACGTTACAGAACTGAGAAGTGCTGTGTATATTAACCATACTGTTTAAGATAAAGTTAACACTGCTTGGAAATCAATTAGTTCACCTGGCTCAGAATGACTTCCACCAAATTCATTTATCTGGACTGGTTTATTGCAAAGATTTTAAGAAAATGGCTTGATTAGAATTGCTAGGAGGGCTATTCAAAGCAAAACCCAAAATTTGTAACCTCTCCCTAGGGTTCATATTGGGCCATGCTATGAAGCTAAAAGATCTTTTTTTCTTTTCAAAATTCTGTGTCTTTCTCATATACAAGAGAATCTCTCCTATTTCAGCAGCTCCTCTGCTGCAGATTAACTCAGAAAACCGATTGATCTTTAGGATGACATTGTCCTCTGACTCAAGAAACCCCGGAAATGTCCATTTCCTGGGAGAGGAAGGCCCGAGGCTCTAAGGGGGCTGGGCTGGGCTGGGGTGAGGAGTCAGTGCCTACTAGGGTGGGGAAGGGTGTGTGTATGATCCTCACGAGCTAAACTGGTTCCCCCAGGGTGAGGCAGTAATCTCACCCCTCCACGCACAAAGAGGTAATCACACCTTAAGAACAGACATCTCTTCCTTAAAGGGACAAGTCCCTGGGTTATGAAGTCCTTTCAGTCCTGACTCAGCATGCGTATTTTCCCCATATAATTTATGGTCTATAAACAATTTATAGTTTATACAATAAATGACACACTTTATGGCAAAGGGCACAGTTTGTGTAGACGTGGATACATATTTGCATCTTTCTGTTTTGGTGGCCTTTCTGTCTCATTAACAGCTGCATGTCAGGGATAGATTTAACAGGTGCTGTTTCCCTCCAGACTGTAGATTAAGTGAAAAAAGGGCCATTCACGTTCTGGCTGACATGCCACTCTTAAAAGTACACAAGGCAAGCCTACAAGTGTCTGGTTTCTCTGCAAGTCCTCTAGGTAGAAAGGTGCCACAGCCCCACCGTGCCAGCTGTCCTTTCCAGAGGAGAGGCAGCAGAAGCCCCAGAGAGATTTCCCTCCTCCAAAAGTGAAGAGTTTAGTTCCACTTGCTCCATTCAAAATTCCCCCTTTAAAAAAAGTTAATTTGCTTTGTACAAAGTTGACATTAATTTTTCTGTTCTCATTTCCTCTTCCCTATCAGGATTCCAAACCAATTCCTCCACCATAAATAATGTTTTATCCTTTCCTGCAGAACAGAGGAAGAAGTATTCCAGCGTCATCCTGGCAGATGTTTCTCAGTATGCTGTTCATGTAGGTTTTTCTGTAACGTTCGGTTTGGGATATGCTAAAGCAGGGACAAGAACTTGAGGCTTGTGTGGTTAACAAGTTAAGGGTAGGGAGGACGGTGACATCTTGTATTTGGGGAAATGGTTGGCTCCTACATGCCTGGTTTGACTCCAGAGATATTTTGCAGGGACACCTGAATGCCTGACATGGAAACTCTGCCTGGGTTCACATGTCACCAGAACATTCAAAAATATGCAGAAAACACCTTGCATTTGAAAAGAAAACAGCAAAGCTTGCCTGCTGGTTGATTTGAGTCAGAAACCTTGTGAGCTCAAGGTTTGCTGATTCGCTCCCCTCTCGCTGCCTGCACACCACCTGCAGGCGAATCTGCAACCCCCCCTTGAGTGTTGATCCACCCTTGCGGGCCAGTGTTATACTGCACCCTTTCAGTTTATGCCAAATGCACAGCTGGACCTCTCAGGACGCAATCTAATGCATCTTTAATCAGGAAAAAAGTTCTACAACAACAGCAGCACTGCCCAGCCACCATGGGAGTCATCGGTCTCTTTTCTGACTAAATATGCACAGCATAGTGCTCTTACTTTTAAAGGATCAGAGAAAAGGTTGGACTCCTCTCCTCTCCTCTCCTCTCCCCTCCCCTCCCTTTTAGATTGCCCTTCAGTAAATCTATCAAGGTAGCCTACAAGAAAAGAGTAAAAACATCAATATAGAATTAGAAAAACTAATAAGGACAAGATGAGTGGCTGAACCCTAATCATCCAGTTCACGTGCCATACTGGGTGCCTGGAACAAAGGAAGACAAGGCCTCTACCTTCAACGGGGCCAAGCAAGCTTCCCTGGGGAGGCCTTGGAGTGCTGCAGCTGCAGGGATACCACTAATGTCAGCTGTTAGATCCTGCCTGTTATTTGCACGCTTGATTCATTCACTCTCTCACGCATGCCGGCACCCACACTACTTTTCTGTGAGACTGGGTCAGTAGTGATGGGCAGGCTGTCTTGCAAGGAAGCTTGTCCATCCTAGCTGATGTTCTCATTCGGTACTCCCAGTAAGCTTCTGAGGTTCTGCACAACAGTTTGAAAGCCGGGGAAATTAAAAATGTCTTAATAAATAAATAATAAATAAATAAACTAGAAAAGAACATTGGTACTGCACAATGCATGTGTCCATGATCTCTTGCTTTTGTGTCCAACAGCACCTGGTAACCTTCTCCATTGGGGAAGAGGATGACCTGGCATCTGTGGAGGATGCCACCAGGAAACTGTCCATCATGGATGCCCAAGGGAAGATCTGGGTTCAGGAGATGTTGCTTCAGGTCAATGGGTCAGCCATTAAACTCTTTGACATAGACTCAAAGGTAGAGCATCCGTCTTTGGGTGATTTATGGGGATAAGGAGGGGGTTGGGTGGAGCCCACTATCCCAAAACCTCTTCCTTAATTTGGGAGCCATACGGGCTACCTGGACTGATATTTGGTGACTTTTATCCCCCTTTAGGAGGAGCTGGAGAACTATGGATTGGCTGCTGTGGCTCGTTGTGAGGCTGTTAGGCCTGAGTCCCGTTCCCGGCCTTTGCTTCTGCTTGTGTGCCAGGAGCCCCATCAGCTCAAACCTGATGTCCACTTCTTTGAGTGTGACCACGCTGGGGTAAGGAAAGTGGATGCTGTGGATCCATTAAGAAAGTTTGGAAAATGACCTATGAAGGAAATGGCCATCATGTTCAGTCCTTTGCCAGCTGCAGGAAACTTCTTGAAAGCATTTCATCAGGAGGAGGTGGAAGGGGGACGTCCTATCCACCCTTGCTGAGCTTTTGACCCTTTCTCCTTTCTGTTCTACTTCCCAGGCAGAACTCATCCAGCAGGACATCAACAGTGCTCTGCTGGACTTCAAGTCGGGGGGAAATGCCCAGCGGAAGGACGCGCTCAGGTAAGTGCAAATCCATACACCTGTGGAGCCAAAAGGATGGGAAAAGGAAAGTGAAAGTATACAAGGATCAAAGTACACATCATGCAGAAACAGCACGTACATCTTGATGGTTGTTTTATCAAGGAACAACAGCTATAAGGAAGGCTAATTTTTCAGGGGGAAGAGTGTGGGGAGACTTCACTCAGGGGCAAAGCAGCTGCACTGGCATCTCCAAGCAGGGCTGGGAGATCTCCAGCCTGGGACCCTAAAGGGCAGCAGCTGCTGCCTGTCAGTGTTGGCAAAACTGGACTGGCTGGACCAAGGTCTGGTTCACAGAAAGTGTTTCCTTTTCCCTGCCTTGTATTTTTCAGAGCACATGTGTTGCTCCAGCTGCTTTTCTTCCTGGAGGCTTCCCCATGCATCTTGGCCCTTTGAAGTGGGGAAATGTGCTTGGATGGGGCAGATGTAATTATGTATTCATTCATTCATTCATTCATTCATTCATTCATTCATTTCAAAGATTTCTTAGCAACCTGTCTAGAGGCCCTGCCAATAGAATGCATGTAACAGATACTATATTAAAAGCAATAAACACAATGAAATGGTACGTACTCTGTGAAAACAGCAGTAAAACCAAATGAAAACAGCAACAAACAACACTCTTTTTGGGAGAAGGTCAGAACAAAGTAATGTCTTCAAGGCCCTTTTTTAAAATCCTGCAGTAATGGAGCAATTGTAACAGAAAGCAGCAGGCAAGGACAGGGTGGAGGATCCGTGCCTTTTCTCTGCTTAAAACTGTGCCTGCTCATGGCAATTTATAGGAGACAAATGGCAAAAGCCCAGACAACACAAGTCTGGCTTTGTGGCTGGGAGTTTCATCCTCTGCCTTGAACAGCAGGTTGGCGTGCAAATGTTAAACCAAGATGATGACGAATGTCTCCTTTTCTCCATGCAAGGATATACTCTGCCTGCTTGGCAGGCTGCAGTGAAAGGCATGGCCTGTTGAAAAACACTTGCATCCCCTGGGATTATGAGAATCAGGTTTCCTGTGTTGTCTGAACAGGTGGTATGGCCAGAAGGGGCTATAGAGATCCAGAACAGGACAGGATGGAGGTGGCATTATCTAACACAGTGGTGGCAAACCTATGGCATGCGTGCCACAGCAGGCACACAGAGCCCTCTCAGTCGGCGCATGGGCCAAGTCGCCCCAGCATCACCCCAGCAGCCGAGCATCGGATATCAGTGCACACAGGGGCCAGGCGCATTCTCGGAAAGGAGTGGTGGCACCAGGCAATAACGTCATGAGCCACAACTCATTAGCCATGACTCATCCGACCTTTTGCATGGCCGGTCAGTGCACTCCCAAGGAGATATATATATTTGCTTGGACTGGCTGTGAGTTGTTTTTTCTAAACTAAAACCTCAGTTTTCAGGTTTTATTGCAGTGTTGGCACTTTGGAATAAATAAGTGGGTTTTGGGTTGCAGTTTGCGCACTCGGTCTCAAAACAGTTTGCCAACACTGGGTTAGAGTTAGAAAAACGTGGTGTCCTGGCATGGTTTTGGTGGTTGGAATGTGTTTAGAATGGGCAGAAATGATGAGCTGTGCAGAAAAAGCTACTCAAGGAGGGCTTTTTCAAAATTGCCCCTTTCAATGGTATTTAACTCCTATATTAGGGTTAGGGGTGTACAGCAGGGTAGGGTTAGGGTTAGAAAAACTAGGAGTCCTGGCATAATTTTGATGGCTGGAATGTGTTCAGAATGGGCAGAAATGATGAGCTGTGCAGAAAAATCTACTGAAGGAAAGCATTTCTAAAATCGCCTCTTTTCAATGGAACTTTAGCCCTGTATTAGGGTTAGGGGTGTGCACCAGGGTAGGGTTAGGGTTAGCAAAACGAGATGTCCTGGCCTGATTTTGATGGTTGGAATGTGTTCAGAATGGGCAGAAATGATGAGCTGTGCAGAAAAGGCTACTCAAGGAAGGCTTCTTCAAAATCGCCCTCCTTTCAAGGGAACTTTGGCCCTGTATCAGGGTTAGGGGAGCGCCCCAGGGCAGGGATAGGCCAGTGGTGGTGAAGCTTTGGCACACTTGCCACAGCGGACACACGGAGCTCCCCCTGTCGTCCTGCGACCCCTGTCACCCTAGCAGCTCCCCATCAGTTGAGCATCGGATAACAGCGCACATAGGGGCATGCGCGTGTTCGTAAAGGCGTAGTGGCGCCAGGCGATGACGTCATGAGCTGCTTCTCATTAGCCACGACTCATCAGAGCTTTCGCACGCCCAGTCCGTGCGCTGCCAAGGTTATATATATAGTTTCTTGGACTGGCTGTGAGGTGTTTTTTCTAAACTAAACCTCAGTTTTCAGGTTTTATTGCAGTGTTGGCACTTTGCAATAAATAAGTGGGATTTGGGTTGCAGTTTGCACACTCGATCTCTAAAAGATTCGCCATCCCTGATCTAACAAGCTGAGATTCCTCCCCTTTTTATTGCAACCCTTTGCTTTGCCTTTCTTCTACAGAGCTGCCCAAAGTTGTCTCAGAGATCAGGCAGGAAAGGCTGAGGAGGCCCCCCCTGCAGCCCAGCAGGTGCCTTCCAGGATCAAGATCATCGCACCCGAGCAAAAAGATGATGGTGAGAACCTAAAAGCCCTGACCCTCCACATAACCTACTGCAGCGCAATGCACACTGCTCTGCAGCAGCATGTTTGAAGGGGGCCAAGGGTCACTGGAAGAGCACATCCTTTGTGTGTGGGATGTGGTATTTTTCTTTTCCTTCTTGGAACAGTTCCACACCACAGGCATGCCTGCCCAAGTCTTTTCCTGGTCTCTTCGTATAAAACAAAAGGCATCATTACTCCAGTAGGCTAAAGGGGAGAAGAAGTGAAAGGAATTCATTAGAAGCCAGGGCTGCATTTTCTTTTCTTGCCTGTGGTGCTATTAAAGGAAAAGAATGAGTTCAGACAACATTCAGTGGTAGAGTTTGGGTTGGGTGTGGGTTGTTACTGAAACATGAGTTATTGGGTTCTGCCCAGCTGCACTGACAAACCGTGGTTTGTTGACCACAAGCAACGCATGAAGACAGTCCGTGTTTTGTTGCTGGGTTTTGGACTGAGGACAGTTCCCCATGCTTTGTTATGCTGGCTGGGTTCAGACACACGCGAACCCACATTTCAACCAAAGCCAACAAATCACACTCAGCATGCGCATTTGTTACGTGAACCAGGCAGTCAGATAGTCTCTGGGCTGCAGCCTGGTGATGCCACGATACACTTGGGATTCTTTCTCCTTCCAGACGTCTTGGCCAGTGAGTCTAAACTGACCTTTCTTCGTGCAGAGCGTGATGTGGTGAGTTATCTGGAAAGTCGTGCTAAAACATGAATGGACTTTTAAGTTAGAAACATAGAAGCAGAGCGAGTCAGAAGGGGCCTCCCGGGCCATCTGGTCTAACCAGCCGGCTCCGCTCACGACATGCCCACCATGTGCATGTACAGCCTTTCCTTGAACACCCGCACCGATGGGGCCTCAACGACCTCTCGTGGAAACGCACTCCACACCCTTGGGGTCCTGACTGTCAGGAAGTGCTTCCACAAGTCTCCTTCCAGCAGGTCAACAGGACATGGGCTCTGTAGCTGAGTGGGCGTTTGTGGATCTTTTACCCCTGGGGTTTTTCTTCCCCTTCCCATTGCCCTCATTCAGAGAGCAAAGGACCAGCATGGCCAGCTGTGGTGCTCCCAGCACAGAGCGCTTGTTGCTGCAGGAGAACCACACCCCTTGGCCTCCCTTTTGCTGCTCACTCAAAATTCTTTGTTTCCTGTCCTTGCTGATTTTGTCAGGCATGCTGGCAGGAATAAACAACTGAAACTAATAACGATACACTGAGCATGTGCAGAGGGCCTTTCCTTAGTCTCCACTTATCCCTCCTCCCCTCTTCTCACCCAAAGATTGAGGTTAGGGGAAAAGATCTCCTGCACAACCAAGTGTGCATTCCAGTATCTCTAGATTTAGAAATCCCATACCCTTTTCTCTAGGGTGCACCCCACTGATCTCAGTGAGGGTTACTTCTGAGTAGACACATAGGATTGCACTTGTAGACCCGCTGCAGTTCTCACATGAGTGGCTCCTTGTTGAATGCAGAAGCCTCCTTTTGTCTCTCTCCCCATCTGACAGGAACTGTTGAACCGGGTTTTTGATGATGTGGAAGCCTTTGTGGGGAAGCTGCAGAAATCCGCCGAAGCTTTCCGTGTGCTGCAGCACCGCCAGCGCTCTGCAAAGAGACGTCGTCGAGAGCCAGGCGGTGAGACATAGGTGGTGGTCCCACTCCAGCCTCTTTTGCTCCCTATCATGCTGGCTAAATTAGAAGCCACATTAAATATGGAGAGTCCAACTGACCCTCACATGGCTTTTAATATATTTTTTAATGAAGTCACTTTCAAATAAACAGGTGAGGTTCTGGTCTGGATTGGGAACATCAGACATTGGCAGGGGTGGTGTAGACATTCTCCAGCAGATCCTTTTTCTGCCTGAATCCCGCCCCCCCCCCCCACAGGTTAAGAGGGAACATTCAGCCTCCCCCTCTTTTTTAGAGCCTGCAGGCATGTGGAGGGGCACATTTAGAGAAGGAAAGTAGCTGGGTGGGAAAGTTTAAACATCCTCCCATAGTGGTCCTAATCCAGATCAAGGTCTGCATATTTACCTCAGTGTAAAAAAAAGGGAAGGATCTGTTGCATGCAATGCATTTAGCATAGCACTTGGTTTAGCTCTGAGATACCCCAGGTAACTTTCAAAGATTCCAGCATGGGGAGCAGAAATCCAGCAGATTTTCTCCTGGCCTTGAAAGACTTGCTGATCAGGTGGGCCTCAATTCGAATCTCTTCACAACTAGGCTTCCTGTATGGACATGGGGTGCAGCAGGCTGCCCTGCTGAAGAAACCTGCTCAGCCTCCAGAAACAGGATTGCCACGAGCCAGAAGGGATTCTGGACTGGGAAGTGGAAGTTCAGCAGGCTGTAGCAGCAGCCTGAATTGCAGTACAAAATTAACCTCCACCAACTTCCACTTCTCTTCCCCATATCCACAGAGGGGCTCCTGACAATCCGAGCTCGACCCCCTTCCCAGGAGGAGTTTGAGGATACTCTGGCAAAGATTAAATACTCCTTCAGCCTTTTGGTGAGTGTCGAGTGCATATTTCTCTCCTAAAAGGCAGGGCGTCTGCCTGGCTCATGCTAAAATCTTCAGTATTATTGATACTATTATTACACTGCATTTATATCCCCATTTTGTCCTGCTTTTGAGGAACCCAAGGAAGCTCACATAGCTCTATTTAATCCTCACAACAACTCTGTGAGGTTGGTTGGGCTGGGAGTGAGTGACTGGTCCAGAGTGACCCAGTGAGCCTCATGGCTGAGGAGGGCCTGGAACGCAGATCTCTCTAGAATCCAGTTCCGTCATCTCAGCACCGTGTCCCACTGGCTTTCATTTTTGTTCCCACCACGCAGGCAAGACTGAAGTCTAACATCACAAACCCTACTTCAGAGGAGCTGATACATTTCCTCTTCCGTCCCTTGAAGATGGTAAGTGGTGGGCCTGAGAGGCAGTGGGGGGAGCTACTGGGCGGCTGACAAGCAGAAAAGCCGGCCCTCTAGAACTGGTCCACAGAACACGGGCAGAGCTGCAGAATGACACAAAGCAGGGTTTGGCTGGCTATTCCATCTCGGTGGCTGATGTGGGACTGAAACCTATGAAAACAAGACCTCTTTGCTCATAGAAAAGTAATGCACCAAGGGAAAGCTGGCCTGGAACATTTCTTCCTGATACACTCGATTTCTCTGAGCAAGGAGTCTTCATTTTCATGGGGTCCATTCAGTTGTATGATCCCCTCTTCCTTGCAGTTTGGAATGGTAATCCACAGAAAGCCTGCACTGATTGTACCGCACATGGAGAAGGCTACTTCCAGACGAGATTTCTTCCCATGCGGTTTTGGTGCTTCATTTATGGAATTTTATGCAGGCGTTAGATGTCAGTTTGTAGCCGAGTGAGAACGGAACTAGCATTGGGCACCTGCTTTGAGAGTCCTGCACTTCTGGGTCCTCATTCTGGCCTCCCCTTTCAGATCGTGGAGAGTTCTGGAGGCCCTGCATTTGCCTCTGAAATACGCAGCCCCCTGCTGACCCTGGAGGCAGTGACCCTGATGCGTGGCTGCCTGGGGGAAGGGGAAACCGAGCTGTGGCATTCGCTGGGCAAAAACTGGACCAGGCCAAGGTAAGAGAAAGGGGTGAGCCACCCATGCAGCCTTCAGCTTATCTATTCCCTTTCTCCAAAGTAGGATGATGGTGCATGTTTAAAAAAAAAAAAAATCCAATTGCCACGTGCTGGAACTAAGGTTGGTTCATTTACATTTTTCTCCTCTTCCTCTCATCCAAATTTTATTTTATTTACTTTTATTTTATTTTATTTTTATACCTCCCAATAGCTGAAGCTTTCTGGGTAATTCACAACAGTTAAAATAGAGCAACAGGATAAAACATAATTTAAAGTTTAAAACCGTAGTAACAAAGTACAAAACCAGCAACAGTGGAAAGATATAAAAATATAAGAAATTAAAAAGCAATTAAACGTGGAAGGACTAAAATGTCTCTGAGAATAAAACGATCTTCACCTGGTACTGAGAGGACCACAGTTCCAGCCCCAGGTGACCCTCTCTCAGAAGGGCATCCCATAACTGGAGAGCCACTTTGGATAAGACCCTCTCCTTAGGAGACGCCTTCCTCATTTTATTTAGTAGGTGTACACAGAGGTAGATCTCTGAAGATGATCTAAAGGACCAGGCAGAGGTACATGGGAGAAGATGATTCTTGAGTAAATTTGTAGTCCTTTTCTCGGTCTCTGAGCATTCTCTCTACCTTGCCCTCTTGACACCATTGGCTGTTCTATCAAGCTGCCATGGCTTTTCTGGCTTCCAAGGTCTGAAATGAGCTGTTGTCAGAGTTGCTTGGTGACTGGGGCCCAAGAGATAAGAGGTCACTGGAAAACTTGGAATTTGAATTCCAAGCTCTTCTGTCTACTATTCATGAATTGAACCAAGAATCATTTCTGGTAGTTCATGGTGGGCTTGAAGTTGATAAGTTGAGTGGTTTGGGCAACTTTAATCAGAAAGAGAATGGAAACACTCGCTATTGGAGTACATGATTGAAGATTTTGTGATCTGAACAATTTATTCCCAAATGCATGATTGTCTTCCATTCATTTCTCACTTTCTCTCCATTATTTGTCCTTCTGCACCCATCCAAGAGTGGACTTTCCCGCAGATTATGCAGCTCCGTACACACCAACTTTCTGGAGTGGTTGGAAGCCCCCATCCCTGGACCCTTCTGGACAGCCCTGGGAAGATCCGGTGGAGGTGCAACACCGCCATGAAGCACTCCGTGCTCAGGTGAGTGATGAGGTAGGAAGCAGGTGAGACAAACCAATACAGGTCCCACATCTAGGGCAATGGGATAGATGCAAAATGTTCTGTTATTACTCAGGAAAGAACAGAAAAGTGGGTTCTCCTCACATCTAGTAAGGGATACGGCTTGCCTGAACAGTACGTCTTGATGTACTTTTGACCAAGGGCCCATCATGGTTCATTTTGGTCTTCCTAAGGCTGAATTTTAAAGCAGCTTGTTTCTTCCTTGTAGAGAAGGGAAGGTGATATGAATCTGGTGAAACCAAGTTTGTAAGCCACCTTGACTTCTTTGTAGGAGGAGAAAAGGCAGGATATAAATGTGGTGAAGGTAGAGGTGGAGATGATATAACAGGGTTCTGAAAGTTTCCTGTTTTTCTCTTCCTCAGCAATCAGCTCCTACAATTGCAGCCAATGGGTAAGTCCTTCTCAAACCTGGGGCAACTGGAGTATTATTTGGGAAAGGGCTGGATCTGGGAAGTCTTGGAAGATGACTGGGCCTTGGAAGACAGGTTGGAAATTAGGATGTGAGGGAACAGGACAAGATTTTGAAGGGCCAGGATAGAACTGGAAACACTGGGGAATGATGGAGTCCATTATTTTCAGGCAGAGGAAGATTCCCCAGAAATGTGATAGGTGTTGTCTGTCTCCTGCATTATTGTTCCAGGAGCCACCGTCCATATAAGGCAGGTGACCTTTGCTTGCACACACACACACACACACACATACTGTATATATAGTCATATAAATGAATTGGAATATTAATAATTCCAGCCCCATGTTATCTGTTTTGTGAGTGTGGCTCCTCAGAGTTGCAGGCAGAAAAGGCCTTCCTGACCCTTCCGTATCAAATCCTTTTGGATGGAGGCAGCCCTGGCTGAGCCAGGAACTTCCTGCCTACAGAGAAGCGTCCAGTAGCTGAGCAGAGACTGCCCTTCCATGTAAGACGGAGGCTCCTGCTCTGGCTTCCGGCATGGCAGAAGGTGAGACTTGAACCCATCACTCTATGGGGACAAGCAGAAGGCAAAATCATCTTGGCTAACCCCCTGCTTCATAAAGCGCAGCCTGATTTATGCAGGGTTCCCAATCCAGGTACAGCTTCAGTGGGCTCTGAGGCCACGGGGTTTGAGAGAGGGAGGCAACAAGGGATTACAATGACTTGGGGGCTGCAGTGCTGAAGGGCTTGCAATAGGAACCGTGCAAGAGGGGATGTGGTCACAGGCATTGGACGTTTTCTTCTAGCAGGGAGAAATCATGGGATATGATTACAGGAAGCTTAGATCAAATCGACGTTCTCTTTCCCCCCACCCCTCTCCTTCTCTCTTTTTGCTTTTGCTTTTTCTGCTTCTCTTTGTCTGTCTGCACTGGGAGTAGCTGGGTGCGGTGGTGAGAGGGGAGAGGGGTGTAGGAGTTAGAGCAGGAGGTGGTGGTGGGGTTGAGTGGCCCGGACTTAGCTGCAAGGAGGTGGTGGCTTGTGTAAGTCAGCAGCTACAGGTTGCTGTGGAATGTAGGAAAATGTGATTAAGCATTGAGGGTAGGTGCTTAGCAGGTACCTATGCTGGGGAGGGGTGGGGGGGACCTTCTGGCATTTGCAGTTTGGAATCTGCCCTGCCACTGTCATTGAAGGCCTTGAGCACAATGGCTACAGAATTCCACATCATATTTTATAAATATATTCATATTTCATCTGCTTTTACAAATTATATTCTTAAGGCACAATGCTTTGTATGTTTATATGCAGAGTAATAATGATAACAACAGATAGAAAATGGACATGCAATTCAAAAAGGTGCTAGCTGGAAAATAGTGGGAATTGTAGGATTTCCCCCCATCTATGCATACATGGGATCGTATCGTTAGTCCTTTCCACTGTTGGAGGAATACTTTTTTAAAATAGGCTCTCTATTGTTGTAGATTTATACTGCCATTGAAATGTGTAGATTCAGGCCAAGTAGCCAAGGAGAGACTTTCCGACAGCTTCTGAGCGTACCTGGTTCACTTCCTGCTCAATTGCTTCTCCAAACACAGCGCTTCCCAGTGCCTTAGGAGCTTTAATCTTGGACAAGATCAAAAGGAACTACAGACTGAAATTAAATAATCTGATATCCCTTCCCCAAACCAACTGATTTGCATTCAATCTGTTCGATAGCACTTTTCTGTTAGGCAGTTTTGTCCCCTCCACTCTGGTCATATGGGTCAGGCTGAGAAGACACTGTGAGCATAACTTTAAATATCCTAAGATCTCCGGAATAAACCTGGAAATTGCAATTTGATGTACATTGTGTTTGGCTTGGGTGGTCCGCTCAGCCAGACCATAGTTATGCCATCTGAGCTGGGTCCAAGGGACAGAAACCTCCCCTTTGCAATCAGCTGCAGGTCTCTGCTTAAGTGGAAGTCTGGGCCGCATGCTGCTGGCATTGCAACACTGAGGTCATCTCGAAGGCTGCTGCCACCACTTAATAAAACAATGGATTCCCAAATGGTCCAGCTACCTGAGCAATGGGAATCCCCCAGACTCCACCTCAGAGCTGGGGATGAGCCAGTACCAGACAGTCAGCAGACACACAAACCAACAGACCCTCTGATATCTCCACCCAGGCAAGGGGAGGGGGACCAGAGGAGGCCTGCCCCACTGAGAAAGACCAGGGGGAGTTTCCTTTTCCGGCACGAGTGTCAGGAGCTTGGGGAGAGATTTCTCGGGGTGCCCAGGTAAGCTTTTTCCCCACCCAAAGGGAGGAAGACCTGATATAGGCACCAGGAGAACTTTGCCACAGGGGTGCCAGGTCTTCAAGGAACCAGACTGACTGCTCAGTGCACAGCTACTAGCCAACTGGTCCCTTTTCTTTGTCCTTTGCACAGATTTGCTATTTAAAATGCTTATTGCTTTGTACCCCAAAGCTGACCGACTTTTATCCCACTCTGTACTATTTCCCTGAATCCTTAATAAATATTTTACCCTGTTTTCACCAAAACCCAGACTGTGTGCTTTGGGGGTGAAAGGGAAGAGGCTCATAAGAGGTGCTCCACATTTTGGGGTCATGTGACCTGTGGGCAAGTCACATGCTGGGTACAACCTGCAACTAGCTGTGCTCTTCCAGGGACACAGGTGGGCTGCAGAGGAGCCATCGCCAAGGGATAGAGAGCGCTTGGAGACTGGGAGATTTGGGCTTGTGTTCCTCTCGGTGGGTGCAGCTGGTGCGAGTGGGCCCTGCTGCCCCAGACCATGCAAGCTCAGATGGGGTTGCCTGCAGGTGCCCCGTCTCCAAAGATTCAGGAGAATTCTTCTTTTTAAAATAAGTTTTATTTGAGATTATCCTAAAAAACCAAAAGCAAACTACAAACAACATCCAACATCAAAAACATCGAGCCCACTGGGTCAGCCCCCACACCCTTCTTTTCCCATTTATGATAACTTAAAAAACATATTTAAATCTAGGCCAAGTCCTGTTTCTCTATCCAATAACAAAAAAAGTCCCAAGTTTGATAGAAGTAGATTCAGGAGAATTCTCAGTGCTCCCCAAAACTCGGGCTTCAGCATTCCCTGGGGGAAAGGAATGATTCTTAACTCATTTTCAACATTTAAAATCTGTAGCATAGATATGCATATGAAGATGTACTCATGATTTCAGAATTATTAAGCCAACAAAATGCAATTGCCAGAAACCCTAAGCTAACCCTAATCCAGGCTAGCTCAATAGAAAAAGGGTTGTCTCCTTTACCAGACTCACACGCTCCCCAAATATGAGGAAGTGACTGACCACTGATGAATACTGTGTCAGGAAGGGAACAGATTCTCACATAGTTCTTAAATTGAAACCAGATACCTCTTTTCCAGCTGAACCAGAAATTCTGGATTCGAAGCAAGCTTGTCCGAATGCAGAAAGCAAAGCTAGACCAAGGTCCCAACGGGTCAGTGAAATAGTCTGGGCTAGTAACCTCTTCCCTTTTCATTAGTTAGAGTGGGTTTCTTCAAGTATTTATGAAGTGATGTTTACAGAGAGAAGTCATCCAAATGTTCCAATAACGTGCGAAGATCATGGCTCTCCACTTCCTGCAAACCCTTCAGAAAATGGACTGAGCCACATCTAAGCTAAAAGTATAAACAAGCCTACATCTTGTGCTGTGGTGTTTCCAAAGGACCCCTGGGAATTGTCAGTCTGCAGAAGTGCACATTTTGTGTGCCAAGTGAGGGAATTGTGTAATCGCACATCGGTTGAAGGGCTGGCCTCCTCTTCCTTATATAGCTACCCTCGAAGCCACCTATTTTGCTGTGCTCCTTCCTATCCCAGCTGGTAGGGAGAATTCGCAGCTCAGAAGGGGGATGAGCTACAGCCAGGAAAGAGCAGATTCTCCTTTCCTGTGTGCATTTCCTACCCACTTCCAATTTTCACTGGAAGTCGGTGGGAAGCCTTCAGAACTGAGAGCACTGCTTAGAATGTTGGACTCGGACTCAGGTTCTAGTCCTGCTTGGGTGAGTTTGGGCTGGTCACTCACTCTCAGTCTAGCCTACTTTGCAGGGTTGTTGAGAGGATAAAATGGAGGAGGAGGAAGATGAAGTATGTCACCTTGGGTTCCTTGCAAGAGAGGAAAAAAGCCAGGACATGAAAGTAATCATAGAGGTAACAAATTCACCATCGGCAAATTTCTTATGTGCTGGGGCTGCTCTCACAAGAGCAGTGTAACATGCTGCCAGGTATTTCAGAAGCTCTAGAGCTGGAACATACGAGCACCCATGGGCCCACCTGTGCATACATTTCTAATTGCATGTGCCCCCCTTATCTACATTGAGCAGCTCATTCAGACAGGATTTATCCAAGTGCTTTCAAATGCTGCAAAATGTTGTGCTGAACCACCCCATTAAACCTAGTACTGCCCTGTTTCTATAATTGCTCTTCCCCATGTATTGCAGTCTCCCTAGGATGGGAGTGCCAAGCATCAGGTCTGCAGGTTAAATCCCGCCCTCCTCAGAAAGGCACATCCTTTCCCCAAACCAGCAATCTTTTGAGGGTAGGGTTGGGACGAGCCCCAGAGGAGCCCGTCCTTCTAGTATTCACGGACCTCCTCTCGTGCTCAGCCCAGTCTTGCAAATGAGCTGAGCCAAGAGGAGGTCTGTAAGGGCTTGCAGAACAAAGTTTGCACAACCTTTTTGCACATCAGATGCAGCAGCACCAAGGCTGTGGCAGGTGGCGCAGGAGGGGGAAGCTGCTTGCACAAGAATTGCACGGGGTTCCGTTCTTAGCATGCCCCGCGTGACCAACCTCCTTCCCCATCAGGTGCAGCAGCCAATGCAGGTGCAGGAGAGGGATGCTGCTAGCTGTTGCACAAGCCTCCACAGGGCTGCTTGCGGCATGCCTCTTTCACGCCGCATGTAGCAGTGGCCATGTTGCTGCAGGCGGCTCAGGTGAGCAATGGGAACTA